ACTTCCGTAGTGATACTGCCTCGGAAACCCAAGGAGGGGTCGCTATGAGTCAGGGCTGACTCGACGGCACATAACAACAACAACAACAGTGCAAAGCCATCTGGCTCATATGTGTCCATTTCTCTATACTGAGTTAGTTTCTATTTAAGTATAGACCTGATTTGTCCTCATATAGATGCATCTCCTGGAGACAGGGTCTCTACTTAATTTAATAGTGCTTTACTTGATGAATAAAGAAAGACCATCAAAGAAATGAACACAGAGGAAAATAGGACTGTTGAGAGGGTCTTAGTCCTCTAGGAGCCATAATGAACTCACACTACTACTCTATACCTGTGTGTACTAGTGTGGGTTTTATGAGGTTTGGGTAAGATGGGAACCACGAGGCTGAGGGTGATTCCTTTCCGCCCACATGGTTAGTTACAGTAGGTGGTGTTTGTGGTTTCCTCAACAGCAGGGACATACTCCGCCTTCTCTTAGATGACATAGGACTGTTGGGTTCTCCAGGACGTTTCACTTTGTTTTGAGGCCCTGCCACAAATTCATCTGCTTCGTCAATCATCATTCCCTACAAAACATCAAGTAACATATTCCATTAATGGCAAATATCCAACTCTTGCAAATTTGCAGTCTTCAGAGGCACATACGACAATGTATTATTACATCATGAGCAATCATGGGCCAGAGCTTTATCAGCCCCCAACACACACTCTGGTCTCAAGAAATGCAACTCAATTTTAATCCAGTCTGAAGGAAAGTAAAATACAAGAAGTTGTCCAAAGCCAAATATGGTATAAGCAAGGTTAATCAGAAAGCTTGGGGACTGAGCAGATATTATCAACCAAAATGGGATAAAGCCACCTTTACTTCACTGAAGAAGTACAAAACTTTGTTAGGGAAAATAATTCCTTTGTGTATATGTGTGTGCTTTAAACTTGTCATTAGCAAATATTGATTTTCACTGTACACAATGTTCGGTAAAGACAGTGAAAGGTTAGTAGAAAGGGAAATGCAATCTGCCTGACCCCAACCCCACAGAGAGTTGGTGCCAGACTGGATGGTAAGGACAGATGCAAGATGAGAGCCACTGGTATGGAACGATAACTTAAAGCTGTTGTCATCCAAGGATGACACAAGAATGTTCCCTTTGTTATTGGAATAAAATCACAACCAACACACCCTTTCTACCATTTGCATTTCCATAAAAATACGGAAAAGGGGAAAACATTTTATTTTAAAAAATTTTTCTTGTGCTTTGGGTATAAATGTACAGAGCAAATTTGTTTTGCATTCAACAGTTCGTGTATGTTTGATTTCACACCCTGATTACCATGCCCGACCATAACGCACTCTCCTCCCCTCCTGTCCCTGTGACTACCCCCTCCCTGTGCCCCTCTTAATGACACACTCCCGTCTGTCCAGCTTTCCCTCTATGTGAATGCTGTCCCTCCGGTGCCCTGTGGCTGATGGCTCTAAGGGGTGTATCTCCCTAGAGTAGGTGGGTGCATCGCCTGGGGTGGGTGTTCTGCATGTAGGTCTTTCTACTGTTGGGCTGAGAGCCAATCCATAGGAGTGAGTCCAAATCTAGGCCTGAAGGGCAACCTGGAGCCATAGTCTTGGGGGTTCCACCAGACTCTATCCAACCAGGTCATTTTTGTGTTTTTGAATTTTGTTCTACATTTTTCCTCAAGGGGAAACATTTTAATTGAGCATTTCCTACCTGCCAAGTACTATTCTAAATGATCTACATGTGTTAACTCACTTCATCCTCTGTAAAATCTTATGAATTAGGTGTGTGATTATTATGCTCAGTATTACGAATGAGGAAATCAAGGCACAGAATGATTAAGAAAAAATGCCTATTAGTTGAAGATTGTTGTTGTTGTTATGTGCCACCGAGTCGGGCTCGACTCCTAGTGACCCCTCCTTGGGTTTCCGAGGTGGTATCACTACGGAAGTAGATTGCCCCATCTTCCTTCCGAGGAGTGGCTGGTGGGTTTGAACAGCCAGCCTTCTGGTTAGCAGTAAAGTGCCTTAGACACTATGCTACCAGAGTTGAAGATTAGGATGAAGAATACCTGGAAGTCTACCTTTGTTACAGAAGAGATGTTCCAGGTCTTAATACCAATAACCTCCTCCATGAGTACAAATATTGTCTTCATGCTTGGGTAGTCAAGTCAGCAGGCCTCTCTCTCTCTCTCTCTCTCACGCACATACACACACAAACACACACAACATTAAGATTTTCAGTAAAACCAAAACCAAACCCACTAACACCGAGCCAATTCTGACTCATACCAACCCTATAGGACAGAGTGTTGTTAGGTGCCATTGACTCACCTCCAATTCATAGCAACCCTAGAACAGCAACAACAGAACGAAACACTGCCTGGTGGTGTGCTCACAATCTTTGCTACACTTGAGTCCATCACTGTATCCTCTGTGTCAGTCCATCTCATTGAGGGCCTTCCCCTTTTTCGCTGACCCTCTACTTTACCAAGCATGATATCCTTCTCCAGGGAATGGTTTCTTCTGATCACATGAACGAAGTAGGTAAGATGAAGTCTGGCCATTCTTTGTTCCAAGGAGCATTCCGGCTGCACTTTTTCCAGGACAGATTTGTTCATTCTTCTGGCAGTCCATGGTACTTTCAGTATTCTTCACCAACATCATTACTTAAAGGCATCAACTCTCCTTTGGTCTTCCTTATTCATTGTCCGGCTTTCACATGCATATGAGGTGATTGCAAATACCATGGTTTGGATTAGGTGTACCTTGGTCTTCAAAGAGATGCCTTAGCTCTTCAGCACTTTAAAAAGGTCTTTTGCAGCAGATTTTCCCAGTGCAATACATTGTCTGATTTCTTGACTGCTGCTTCCATTAGTGTTGATTGTGGAACCAAATAATATGAAATGTTTGACAACTTCAATCTTTTCTCCATTTATTGTGATGTTGCTTATTGGTCCAGTTGTGAGGATTTTAATTTTCTTTATGTTGAGATGTAATCCAGAATGTAGTCTTTGATCTTCATCAGTAAGTGCTTCAAGTCATCTTCACTTTCAGCAAGCAAGGTTGTGTCGTCTGCATATCTCAGGTTGTTAATGGTTCTTCCTCCAAACCTGATCCAGCATTCTTTCTCATATAGTCCAGCTTCTCGCATTATTTGCTTGGCATACAGATTGAATAAGTATGGGGAAAGGATACAGCCCTGATGCAGACACCCTTCCTGATCTTAAACTATGCAGTATCCCCTCTTTCTATTTGAACGACATGAGCACAATTCAGTGTTCTGGAATTCCAACTCTTTGCAACGTTATCTATAATTTGTTATGATCCACACAGCCAAATGTCTTTGCATAGTCAATAAAACACAGATGAACATCTTTCTTGTATTCTCTGCTTTCAGCCAAGATCCATGTGACATCAACAATGTCATCCCTCATTCCATGTCCTTTACTGAAACCAGCTTGAATTTCTAAGCAGTCCCCTGTCAATATACTGCTCTAACTGTTCTTGAATTATTTTCAGCAGTTTTACTTGCGTGTGATATTACTTACATTGTTGGATAATTTCTGCATTCTTTTGGATCACCGTTCTTTGGAATGGGCACAAATGTGGATCTCTTCCAGTTGGTTGGTTAGGTAGGTGTCTTTCAGAGTTCTTGGCATAAATGAGTGAGCGCGTCCAGTGCTGCATCCATTTGTAGAGACATCTCAATGGGTATTCCATCAGTTTCTGGAGCCTTGTTTTTCACCAATGTCTTTAGTGCACCTTGGATGACTTCTTTTGATACTATTGGTTCTTAATCATGTGCTACCTCCTGAAACAGACGAATGCTGATCAATTCTTGTTGCTACAGTGATTCTGTGTGTTCCTTACATCTTCTTTCAATGCTTCTTGCATCATTCAATATTTGTCCCATTGAATCCTTCAGTGTTGCAACATGACGCTTGACTTTTTTCTTCAATTTTTTCAGCTTGAGAAATGCCAAGCACGTTCTTCCCTTTTGGTTTTCTAACTCCAGATCTTTGCACATTTCATTATAATAATTGACTCTGTCTTCTTGAGCTGCTCTTTGAAATCTTCTGTTCAGCTCATTTATCTTGTCATTTCTTCCATTTGCTTTAGCTACTGTCCTTTCAAGAGCAAATTTCAGTCTCTTCTGACATCCATTTTGGTCTTTTTCTTCCTCTCCTGTATTTTAAATGACTCTTTGCTTTCTTCATTTATGATGTTCTTGATGTCATCCCATAACTCGTCTGGTCTTTGGTCAAGGGTCTTCAATGCTTCAAATGGCCTCTAAATTCAGGTGGGATATACTACAAGTTGTATTTTGGCTCTCATGGACTTATTTTAATTTTCTTCGGCTTCAACTTAAATTGCATATGAGCAATTGATGGTCTTTCCCACAGATGACCCATGGCCTTGTTCTGACTGATGATACTGAGCTTCTCCATAGTTTCTTTCCTCAGATGTAAGTGTATCTGATTCTTGAGTATTCCATCTGGCAAAGTCCATGTGTATAGCCACTGTTTATGTTGTTGAGAAAAGGTATTTGCAATGAATAAATCCTTATTCTTACAAGATTCTATCATGTGATCTCTGGCATCATTTCTATCAACAATGCTGTATTTTCCAACTACCAATGATTCTTCTTTGTTTCCAACTTTTGCATTCCAATCACCAGTAATTATCAATGCATGTTGACTGCATGTTTGGTCAATTTCAGACTGTAGAAGTTGGTAAAAATCTTCAATTTCTTCACCTTTGGCTTTAGTGATTGGTGTATAAATTTGAATAGTAGTATTAACTTGTCTTTCTTGTAGGTGTATGGACATTATCTTATCACTGACAGCATTGTACTTCAGGATAGATCTTGAAATGTTCTTTATGATGTCCTCTTTAATTTGTCATTCCTAGCACAGTAGACCATATTAATCAAAATGAATAAAAAATGGCCAAAACCCTCTGGACCATAGTCACAGGGGACATCAAGCTCAACTTGCGTAACATACTACACAAAACATTGTTCCACCTCCTGCTTTGGCGAGTAGTGACTGGGATCTTAAAAGCTTGCAAGCAGCCAGCTAGATGCAATGATTGGTCTCTCTTTCTCCAGAGCAAAGAAGAATGAGGAAAACCAAAGATTCGTGAAAACAATAGTAGTCCAAACAACTGGTACACCATGTGATCCTCAGCCTATATGACTATGAGACCAGAAGAACTAGATGGTGCCCGGCTACCACTGTCAACCACTTGGACAGGGATCTATGTAGGAGATCCTGGATAGAGAGGGGGAACAATGTGGAACAAAATTCAAAATCATTTGGAAAAAAAAAAGGCGGGACCAGGTTTACTGGTCTGATAGAGCCTGGTGGAACCACTGAGACTATGGCCCCTAGCTGCCCTTCAGGTCTGGAAATGAACCCATACCTATGGCTTCCAGCCAAACAAAAGACAGGCTTATGAGCTGAACATTTACACTAGGTAGATACACTCCTTGGAGGGAACAATCATGAGAGAATAGAAGGGCTGTGCATTCACAGGGAGACAGCTCAGGGGGCTGGAGTGCACGGAGGGATGGACACAGGGAAGAGTTAACTATCGGGAGGAAGTGGGAGGGGAGTTGTTGCATTGGGGTAAATTGTAGTCAATGTTATGAGACAAAGTGTGTGTGAATTGCTGTATGGAAAGTGAATTTTCTCTGTAAACTTTCACGCAAATCACACAAAAAAAGGCCCAAACCAGTCCATTTCAGCTTACTAATGCCTAGGATATTAATCTTTATGTATTCTATTTCATTCTTGACAACTCCAATCTTCCTGTATCCATACTCCATACATCCATGTTCCAATTATTAATGGATGTTTGCCGCTGTTACTTCTCATTTTGAGTCATGTCACATTAGCAAATGAAGGTCCTGAAAGCTTTATTCCATCCATGGCATTAAGGATGACTCTACTTTGAGGAGGCAGCTCTTTCTACTTGGGTCAAAATACCATGAGCAACAGATTTGGTTACTATGCAGTGCATACACAGCCCTTGTTCGTGAGGGCAATTACTTAACTAGTTTTTAAGCCCTGGTTTTAAACAAACAGAGAAGATGTGCATGTATTTATCTTGCAAGAAGAAAAGAATTATTGCAAATACAGGTAGTTCCCAACTTACACTGGGGTTCTATTCCAATGACTCTGTCATATGTTGGTTCTGACATAAGTGGAATATCTCATTTTTAAAATTTTTTCATTATTACTGGCTTTTATTATCAGTATCTTTATATATTTGATCTTTATTTGTCTTTGGGGGTTGGAAACATTACATATAAACTTACAAATATATGTTAACAGTTAACACATGTAGATATCACTAACGATAAGATGTACAAAAACTATTACAGTTTTAAGTGCAGTTCATCATAACTCAGATACATCATAACTTGGGGACTACATGTATAACACAATTTACACAGACATAGAAATAGGTATCTTACCTTCTTATCTTGTTTAAATGGATTGCCAAAAGTATGAAGTCGTTTTGGTTGGTCTGGATCAATCTCTCTAAGTGGAGAAGGCAATGTCTTCAGATATTCCTGGTAGTTTCCCATTTGTGCAACCGGAACACTATGAAGTGAATCTGCAAGATCACCAGAAAAGAAACAGATGCTATACATCTGAAGTATGTGATCTTTTGGGAGGACATTATCATAGACAGCTGTCCTGGCACCAAATATAATCTAAAATCTCAAATAGCATCATCTTATCCTAGGATCTAGAGTATTCTCCCTTCATCTCAAATCATCAATCAATCAGTCCATTGTTGTTGTTGTTGTTGTGTGCCGTGGAGTCGGCCCCGACTCATAGCGACCCCTCTTGGTTTTCTGAGGCAATATCACTATGGAAGTAGATTGCCCCATCTTCCTTCTGAGGAGTGGCTGGTGGGTTTGAACCGCCAGCCTTCTGGTTAGCAGTCAAGTGCCTTAAGCACTACGCTACCAGAGCTCCCTAATCAGTCCATTATTACTCCTCAAATAGCCAGGCCCCAAACAATTCCATTACTCCTCAAACCAGGCTGACCTCCCTTATATTGCCATCCCAACTCAAAAATCCCTATTTGTTCCCCAATGGGAAGAATCTACACTCCATAGCAGTCTCTTATCATCCAGAGAACTTGAGTAGTGGGTTTTCTCCTGTTTGATAAAAGTTCCCTTTCATACAAAACTTGGTGTATAATTTGAAAAGGTTTGCTCAATTTAGCAGATAGATGATTCAGCTTAAAATGAACAAAATAGAGAACAGTGGGATTTTAAATAGTCACCAATTATCCTGGATCCTATCAAGTTCATTACTTTCATGTGGATGAGGAATTCTACATTAAACTCACTGTGTGGCATAGTGCTTGGACATGCAGTCTCCGGACACTGACAGACTGGACAGATCTAGCTTCGGCCACTTTCCAATCAGCTAAAGCTGAGCAAACTCCTTAAATACTCACTCTCAGTTTCATAAAATGGACATAAAAACATTATCTACCTCATGGAGCTGTTTTGCGGATTATGAGAGATAAAGTAACCACTCATTAACTCATACTTCCTGTGCCTGTTCTCAGGGTAGACATTTGGAGTCAGTGAAAAGAGGCATTCTATAAACATTAACGCATTACAAAATTACCTACTCATTGTGTAATAAACACCTTCATGTAATTCAGACTTGACATTTTCATAACCAAGGAAATGTGCTTCAATGTTCATTTACCTTCATCTTGGCCAACAATAAACTTGTGTGTTTTCAGCAGATTAGATCTCATTCTGGTTAACTGGTCTAAAAGACCACTACGTGGGATATCATAAGCATTTCTATATGTCTGAGGTTTCAAATCCTGTTTGAGATGAAACAAGTAATTTCAGTCACGGCCGAGGCTTTTAATATATGAACACAATACTCAACCCTCCTTAGCAAAGGCCTCTACAATCAAGGCACCTAATTACAGCAGAATTCTCCCAGTGGAAAACTTCTACTTGCTGGCCTTGTTCTTCATTCCAACACACCCAAAAAGCATCAAAGCCACTAGGAATATAATATCTTTGTTCAAGTATGATACTGGAAACACAAAATCCTGAGATGTATGCCTGCAGCAGCAGCCTTCCTGGACCACAGCTTGACACCTAGATTTCTTCTCTGGCAGCCATGAAGGCGAGTGTGCCACTGGGATATCCCTTTAGGAAACAATGTCCGATCCACTATGAGCAGTGATGTTATCGTATTTTTCACATATAACATGTCTGAGGAAATAACATGCATATGCATATAACATGCATAGCACTCATAGGAAACTAACACGTGAGGAGGTTGTGCAGTTTGCTAAAAATATGTAACACATGTATTATTTGCATAAAAATAATGATAGTCGACAACTACCAGCTGCAGTGCCTCTGGGATTTGCTGCAGCTTTGAGCTGAGGCCATGTTCTTCCCAGGCTGCCCCAGACAATGACTGAATATGGTAGGGCGTTAGTGACTGCCCGATTCTGCCCAGTGTGGACATTCTCTATGGGAAATCTTGGTGCCAGAGGTCCCTTCACACCCAATCCTCCTTACTGCCCCCTCTTCCCTCTCAGGTATGAGATCAGCACTGTGGTCTGAAGCCTCTCTCTGCTTACTCCTGCTCCCTCTCCCTTTTATTTTTCATGGGTATTACTCTCCAAAAATATGTTGTACTTTTAATTCTGTATTGATATTTGCTGGCAGAAGGATCCAACCTACCCACTTCTTGAAGCAGTCAATTAATAATTACTAAGTCCCACATTGAATTATCATTATTTTTAAATGAAGGCAATGCAAAAAACATAAATGTACCAGAAAAACTCAAACACAGACTATTCACATCACAATTTACCTTGTTTAAGAGCCCTATTTGGAAGCCAGCAAATTCTTTGGTACTCAATTCGGCCAGTCTTAGTGCAGTTTCCCCTGTGATTTCATTCAATAGCTTTCTAAAATTTTGACTGTGAGTCAAAGACACTCCACCCCCAGAATGATTTTTCACTTTGATTCCAATTTCCTGGGGAGGTTTCTTCCCTACTGATGCTAGTATTCGTTCCGACTCGAGTTTGGTCTAAAATGAAAGTACATGGCATGTTAGGAAAAGATCTATAACATCACTGTCTTTTTTACTATTTAAGAAAGAGAATACTTTAAGAATCCAACAGAACAACTATTCCATTGCAAATGATAGAAAAACAGATCATTATAATTTTCCTATACTTCTGTGTACTACCACAGCACACAGAGAGGCGAGAATAGAAATATTTTTCTCTCTTGTCTAGTGTCAAATTATGATTGAGTCATGGAAAGAATGGAAACCAGGGGTAAGAATTTCTTTCATAGACATTTAGAGGCCCATTTTGTTACTGTAAAAACTAGTCTAAGCCAACATATTCATCTCAGACCCAGACAAAAAGTTTTAAGACTCTGTATTTATAAATGCAAACTAGTGCTGAAAATCAGGTTACCTAGATGGACATTATATCTGAAAAACTTAAAACTATATATTTTAATATTGGACCATCCAAAAAATATCTTAGAAAGTAATGCTTCATTAAATAGATATGACCAAAAGTAAATTATTTTCAATGGGTACTCAATAAATTTTCTACTAACTTATAATGAAAAATTTCCTTATTAGGCACTCCTATCTCCTATTGATAAATATTGCTTAAGAGTGAATTGTAGCAACATATTGCATATTGAGCATACTTTGTTTTACATACATCAGAGATGGTTCAAGGAACACTGATTACATAGAGTTTTTATATCTACATAATATATCAGAAGTTAGTAACAATCTTTTATTTTTCTCTACAGGTGGATATCCACCAATGTTCAGAAAGTCCAAAATAATTATGAAGTTCTTGGGATTTGGTCAGAGACATTTATTAATTTGCTCCAATTATTGGAATTAAGTATATGTTTGTTCCCTTTAAATAATTCTTCAGTCATGAAATATAGGATAAGAGCAAATGAAGGGTCTGTTTCCTTAAATGGTCTTGGAAATTCACTTATAAAAATATATAAGCAATGTATCCTAGAAGGTCCCAGAACTTATGTGAGTTTCAACTCTGTTTATGATTCTTCTTTCTGGCCATACCCTGCTGAAACAGCCTTAAAGGCCCAAGATCAATATCAAATAAAGAAATAAACCAATATACAAATAAATCAATTAATAACCAAAACAAAACATCAACAACAACAACAAAAATAAAAACCTATTCGAGGAAATCTAATGATCTGTCTTGTAAGAAGTACAGCCTGAATGCTCCTTAGAAGCGAGAATGGCCAGACTTCGTCGCTCGTATTTTGGTCATGTTGTCAGAAGTGACCAATCCCTGGAGAAGGATATCATGCTTGGTAAGGTAGAGGGTCAGTGAAAAAGGGGAAGACCCTCAATGAGATGGACTGACACAGTGGCTTCAATGACAGGCTCAAGCACAGCAAGGATTGTGAGGCTGGCCCAGGACCGGGTAGTGTTTCGTTCTGTTGGACGTAGGGTCATGGAGTCGGTACCGACTCAGTGACACCTACCAACAACAACATTAGCAGAAAATAAAAAGGGGTGAGGGGACACTGGGTGGATCAGAAATCTGCGTTTGCCTTTATTTTCTGTTTCACTTAGGAGCACACTAGACTGGTAGGAGCCAGCAAACTCCACATGGTACTGAATGTGTGTACCAGTTCCTAGCAAGGTGTGTCAGCATCCCAATTGTGAAATCATTTTGGTTCTTTTGTGAAACCTGTCACTTTGCTAACTACTCTCTGTTTTCTAAAGTTTCTCAACTTCCAAACATCTCCAGTTTGAAGCAGTAGAGTCACTGCAAGTACTACTACTGTTTCCTACCTGGGAATACATTTGTACATAAGAAGAAAGTCAAACTGCGGCATTGATTTGTCATAGCACATAATACATATGTAGGGCAGTCAAGCTCTAACTCGGTAGTTCTCAAACATTTCCATCCTGCAAGAGTGGGCTAGGTAGAGGTAAGAAGTAGGGTAAGGAGGGGTGAGTGGAGGATGAGGTACTAATAGAAAGGGGCAGGCAAGGGACAAGGTGAACAATGGCAAATGAAGTAGGGGTATAAAAGAATTCCTCTCTTCAGGTCCCCTTGGGGCCTACCACCCTCCGGTTTAAGGGACATTAGTCTCATCTCTTCCCCCTCTCCTGCCCCAGGAAAAGCATAGGGACATTCATCCAAGGGCTGGCATGTGACTGTAAGTCCTTCACACGCCTGAAAACAACTTTCAGGCGAGTCATGTTGTCACACCTCAGTGTGTTGATCTGAAAAAGAGATGCACCAATCCAAAGTAATTTGAGGAGACACTGGATTAAGGATATACAAAAACATGAGCCAGGAGATAATTCTATTAATCCTCCGCTCCTCTTAGGCCACAAAATATCCACCAGCTTGTGGGAAGGGCAAAGGGGCAAGCCAAAGAGGAAATGGTACAGCATCAAACGATACTGAAAGACCCTTATCTGCAGGTTGATGGTGAAGCTAGAAGCCATAGAGAATCACATTGTTACTAATCCATAAAGTGTAGAAATATATACACATTTAATGTTTAAAAATGACAATTACACTGAAGAATAAGGAAATGCACTTCTGAGGGCAAAGGGGTTGTGTTTGTTTGTTTTTACCAATACTACCTGTTGGCTGAGTTTTTTAAGGTAAGAGATAACACTGTAACTAAGTCCACAATCTAAATTATCTGATATCAGATTTGGAGCTCCCATCATCCTTAGTGCTTTCTTTAATGGCTATAAGGAAACAAAATACACAACAGTAAGAATAGAATAAATCTTAAAATACTCAAAGTTCAGTTACAAGGGGCAAAGGGACATGATTCATTTCTTAGAAGTCAAGGTGCTGCACATAAAACCAAACATGGAACATTAAAAACTGGGAATGAAAAAAAGCAGAGACAAAAGGAGCAGAAAGTGAAAAAACAAACAAACAAACAAAAACAAAACTAAAAACAGAGGCGAGTGGGATCAGAAGAGCAAGCAACAGCAAATTCAAACACTGGGTAAAACTGCTTTCAGTCTTAAGTCCCAAGCTCTCAAATCATTTTCACACTGCATTTTATTGGGCACCCCATTGCTGCCATGGCAAATCCTAACACGCCCCGATTTCTCCTCCCAGTGATACCAATGGTACCGGTTAAGGCTCTACCTTTTCACCTCTAGAAAACTTGGCTTAAAGTTTACCAAGTCAACCTCTGAAATGGTTTTGATGATCTTAATTTAGGTTATATTACCTACTGCTGTTGAGTTGGTTTAGACTCATGGCGACCCCATGTGCTTCACAGGACGACTGCTCCATAGGGTTTTCTTGGCTGTACTCTTATGGAAGAAGATTGCCAGACCTTTCTTCCATGGCACTGCTGGGTGGATTCCAACCACCACCCTTTCAATTAGTCGTTGTTGTTGTTGTTATGTGCCGTCGAGTCGGCCCCGACTCATAGCGACCCCTCCTTGGGTTTCCGAGGCAGTATCACTACGGAAGTAGGATT